CCCCCCATGCAGTGCCCCATAGAGTCTTGGAGCTACAATTTGAATGATTTCCAGGCAGCATGACCTTGACCATGCTGACTGGGAATTATGGGAGTTGGAGTTTAACACATCTGGTGGCCACTAGATTGTAGGGTTGGACTAAGATGTTAAATGGAAATTAATATATTCATGGGACATACAGTTGAAATGGAAAACATGTTAATTAAAGTATGGTTTATTCATATTTTGTTAAGACTTACAAGGAAGAAAAGAAGGAAATTTTTTGCAAAAAGAAAAGCACTATAGTTCCTTCTCCCTGTACAGCCAGTAAGGAAAATGAAACATCCCATCTCTAACTGGGAATTTCTTGTAGCTTTTACATATATCATTAGAAAATAGCATACAAACAACAAGGTACAATGGGGACATTAAACAACACTCAGTTATTGTTTTCAATGGGGATGAAGCTCCCCATATCTTGCCAGGAGTCTTCCTTTAAGCTAAAGACTTCTCTCTCACATATCAGCCTGAACAGTTTCCTTTAAGGTACACTACATGCCAAAAGCATGTCAGAAGGAAGAAAAGAGAAACTCCAAAGAAGCCAGCATGGATATATACAGAGCTCTCTAAAATGCTGAAGAGAAACAGACACATGTACAAGAAATGGAAGGAGGAGAACAACCAACAAAGAATGCAAAATCAACTCAAGGAACTGTGGAGATTGTGTCAGGAAGGGTAAAGCCAAAACAAGCCAAAGCTTGCAAAAGGCACTACAAACAAAAAGAAGTTCTGTGGGTATGTTGGAAACAAAAGGAAAGCCAAAGAGTCTGTTGCAAGGACAAAGAGGTGAATTGGTAATGGGAGATCATGTCTCAGCAGAACCTTCTAACTACCACTTTGCATTCAACTTCTCTCAGAAGGGAAATGAAGCCTAGATGGCTGATGGTATGTCACTGGGAAAGGAAAAGATAATTTAGCTAACATAAATGAATGTAAGGCTCCAGGGCCAGAGGGATTACATTCCAGGCTACTGGAAGAACTAGGGTAGGTGATCACAGAACCACTCTTGCTAATATTTTGGTTACTCCTGGAGGACTGGCAAGATCTCAGAAGCCTGAACAAGAGCAAATGTTGTTCCCATTTGCAAGAATGGAAAAAAAGGAAGACCCAGGAATCTATAGACCTGTCAGCTTGGTATCTGCTGGGCAAGATCCTTGAACAGATTATTAAATGGCATATTTGTTAGCACCTGAATAGGCATGTTAAAATTAAACAGGAGCCAGCATGGGTTTGTCATAAACAAATTGTGTCAGTCTAACCTTATCTCCTTCTTTGACAGAGTTATTAGCTGAGTAGATCAAGGGAATGTACAGGCCATAGTATACCTGCCCCTCAGCAAACCATTTGACAAATCTCTCATTATGTTTTTCTTATTAAAATGGTAAAGCTGGGGCTAGATGACTGCAGAATGACTGCCCCCAAAGAGTGTTCATTAATGGATACATTTCAGCTTGAGGGAAGTATTGAGTGGAGTGTCTCAGGGCTCTGTCCTTTGCCCAGTGCTGTTGAGCATTTTTATCAGTACATGGAGGAGGAATTAAGGGGATTCATACCAGGATGATACAAAGCTGGAAGGGATAGCTAATACTTGGGAGGGAGAGGGAGAGGATTCAAAAAGATCTAGACAGATCTTGAGCAGTGGGCTGAAAGGAATTGGATGGAATTTAACAAAGTGAAATGAGAAGTTCTGCATCTGGGTAGGAAAAATGAAAGCCACAAGTTTATGATGGGGAGAACTGGCTTGACAGTAGTACATGGGGAAAGGATCTGGGGGCTCCTGTAGATTACAAATTAAACATGAGCAGCTGTCAAAAATTCAAATACGATCTTGGGGTACATTAATAGGACCACAGAGTCCAGGTCACGGGAACTGTTCCATCTACCCCAGTCAGAACCCAGTAGTATTCTGTTGCTAGTTCAAATAGTTTTATCCTAATCCTAATGCACCTTCTTTCATAGAGTTTGTGACTTATGTTTGTTTCATTTTTTCTATTGCATGCATTTGTTGTTTGAAACTGGGGGTCTGCAAAATCAAAATAAATTTCGCTGAGAGTAAAATCAAGTTTTAACTACTGTAGTTCAATTTGTTTAAATCATGATAATTCTTTAACGGCTCCATTTAAGGGAGTAGATTACTTTTTTTTTTTTTGCTTTTGAGAAGATGGTTCTCAACCTCTTTTTCATTATTTTTAGATGTGTGCATGCACATAAATGCAAACATTGCCCTTTAGTTGAAGATACTGCTGCCAATGCAGTTTTATTTATGAATATACATGGAATTTATTTTCTGCTCTACTGCCTATTATTTAAACAAAATCAGGTGGTGATGGTAATACAAGTGCTTGCTAATGATAGCCTGGTTTACCAATCACATCCAGATGTCAAGTCCATTATAATCTCCTTTCTTTCTTCTTTGCTCCTTTTGCAATAAATAACTTATATTTTTTCCTTTTGTATCTCATGTTGTTGTCTTCAGGATGTTGAAAATGCTTAATTCTAAATCAATCAGAACCAAGAGCTTGTATTGCCATGCTGAATATTCTGTGAGAGTTACTGGCTTTGAATACTTATTCAAAATTTTAAAAGGAAATTTAGGTGATTTTATAAATGGACATTTTGATGAGCCTGGAGATTAGTCCAGAAAAATCATTCGTTCACAAAATTGTTTACCAGCCCAGCTAATCAACAAACTTTTACTAGATACCTGTGACCTAAAAGAAAATGTAACCTTACTTCTTTGAACAACTTCTCTAGGATTGATTCTTATTTATCACAAGCAGTACTTATAATGTGTTGTTTACATTATGTAGGGGAAATGGTTATCAACATTTAGGAGATGAGATTTCCAAAAAAAACTTTAAGATATGTTTTCTCATGCTGTTCCCACTCACACTGAGGGCCAGAAAGCAGTCCCAGTGCTTTTTTTTTTTTCCCAGAAAAAAAGACTTGAGACTTTTAGAAACAAATGTAGGTTTACAACTTTTCCTGTTCACTCTAAGCTCTGCCCACTGACACATTTGCACATCTTTCACACCTATTCAACTCAAAGTTTAACTGGCCAGACTAAGTTGGAGTTCCAAAAGACTTGAGGAGGGACACCTATTATTCATGTATCTTGTCTGATGTAATGATTCCAAAGACTACAGTTCCCATATATCTTATGGGAACTGTAGTCTTTGGAATCATTACAGGTGTCCCTCCTCAACACCTTCCAGCAAGATGGCCAGTCCTCTTGGTATTTTTCTCACTCTGGATGCTGTTGCCTCATCCAATTCACATGGAGCCCATCTGTTATTTTGAGAACCATCTTTTGTTGTGAGAACTTTATCTCCCATGCCTTGTTGTGTCTGCTTCAAAGTTTTTATTCTCCACATGAAATCTTCCTGAAGAAACCCTTCTGCCTTTTGGGCCTCTTTCTATTTATAGAAAGCTACATGTTATTAGTAACCCATGGTAATATATTGGTTGGAGTTTTATGCGTGACGATATATTGACATTCAAATACTGATACAAGGTTAGTATATTCTATCATTTTCATATGTTTCTGAAATAACAGATATATATGACTTATATTATTAACATATCAAGGTTGCATGATTGTAAAAGGCAGAATTATGTGTCTTTACTCTGATCCTTCCTCTTATGAGACCTTAATAATTTTTGGAACACTACGCATTCACCAGTACCATCATGTGATTGCTTACAAAATGCTTAAACAAAGTACTAGGAAAAGGTCATTTAAGAGAAACTTCTTTGAAGATGATCATATCACTGTAAGATTTGTCTGATTGGTTCTCTATTAAATGATTTGTGGCTGGGGGAGGAGGAAGAAGGTCATGACACTTGTGTCATTTTATTTTAATAATGGATTTGAAACCAGCCCATTTGTAACCTTTGCCCAGTAGTAATTAGTTTACAGGCTTATGAAAGAGTGTGCCTCCCAGTAGAGCATGATTAAATTACACACTTCAGCACAAAAATTTTGATCCAGTTATTGAAATTAT